GAGATGGAAGACGGCAACGCTGCGGCCCCTTACCTGAACCTCCCGCCCCCCGAAAGAAAACCGGGGGACCAAGAAGAGCGCTGGGGTGTTTCTTTGTCAAGAGAAAACCACGTTAACCGAGAGGTCACAACTTCGCGGTTAAAAAAAAAAAAGGCACCAGGCTAATACCGAATGCTTACGTTTAACAATACAAAAATACGGCTCCGCTACAATACCCAGTCACAAAACTTGCCTTTGTGATGTAAGTTTGCTCCGGAAGCTCCTTTCCCCGATTAAATACGTTTTGCAGATTGTAAAAATGCCAAAAACTAGTCAAAATGGGTCTCGATTCAACTCTCTATTATAAAATTTTAATGACTGTGCTCCTGTTAACTAAATATTTGAAACAGAAAAATAGCAAGTACTACATATGCTCTTTTTAAACAATAAATAAGCATTTTTTTAAACAAGAATTAAATATAAACTTTACACATCCAAAATACAATATACAACCTATTTCAAAAAGGACTCATTGATTACAGAAACATAGTAAAACCATATTATGAACGGCGTGTAAGCTTTCCTATACAAACGGTAACGCTGCTCGTCGCAGCTTTTTCTGCAGGTTCCATGGTTAGCTTAGTGATTTTCCTACTTCGAGTTAAGACGCCTGGCTCCATCATCTGACGAGATGGCCAGATGACAGAGTCTGGTGGAATCAAATAATCTGATTCGGTGGCGTTAGCACATGAGTTACCTTTCTCAAGACTGACAAGTGTGAATCTTCCAAAGATACCGCGTTGAACTAATTTTACCTTTTCAGAAAGGCTGATGTGATAAGGCTGTAATAAGATTTTAGACTTAAGCCGTATTTTATCCAAGAGAAAACATTTTGTATCATCTGTCGCCTTCAAAAAGAACAAGTTGTATGGACCGTCTCATTAAGACCACAACAGCAGAAGTTAACAATATATACAAATGAAGTTTCATCGGTTTTCTATAATGCAGAAAACAAAAGAGACTTCCATAAAAAGGATTTCTTTGTTCTCAGACTTCACTTAGAAACTCAGCTTAACATACAGTTGTTCTGTAGCATTAGTAAAGTTCACTAACAAAAGACTTTGCTGTACGCCGTAAATAAACCAAAGCGTTCAACAGTTTTGCTGCCATTGTTCATGTGGTGTTTAGCTGACTTTGCCTTTCAGTTTCAGCTTTCTTCTCTTGCCGGTGGTGAACTGCAGCCCAGAAGGTTACTTTTTTCAGCACTTGCTGCAAAAGTTTCGACGGCAAGCATGGTATTTGATTCTTTAAGAGAGCTGCGTTTTTACCAATGCAGTCGAGACACAACCTGAAGAAGGAGGGGGGAAAAAAGAAAAAAGAAAAAAAAGATTTAAGTAAATGGTCTATAACCTAAAGACCACAGTGCCATCACGATTTACACCAGACTTTTTGTGCCAATAACGTCAACTCACCTCAGGAGTGAATACGGTTGAGTCTGAAATATCAACAAGTCACTGCAGTGACCCTGACCAACAGAAAAAAACCACCATTAAAGTGACAAACAGCTTATCTCAGAAATACTGCTATTTTCTCGATTAAGGTAACTTTTATTACCACATGCATAATTTAAAAGTGAGAATACTTAAATAATTATTTATAAAAAATCTGAATAACAAATTCCTTTTTATGAGCCTAACAAGGGCAGGAAAACACCCTCATAAATTACTTTCCAAGAACACCTAAGGTCACATCTCACAACACCATATGATATGAATGAACCCAATAGTGTCAGCAACTGTATCAACTTTATTTTATTTCAATTTTAATTATTATAGTGCTAGGATTTCATTATTCAGTTTACTGACTGTGTCCATGAAATGCAAGTCATCTTTGCTTCCACCAAACACCATGACTTCTCCTTCTTTTCCAAGGCAGGCTGTATGCCACAATCTAGAAATAAAATTATAAATAGTCAGTCATGCAAGCACATGCAAGTCGTGTTACCAGCAAAACAAATCTAAAAACTAAATGTTTTTAAGGGTTTCAGAGAAGCTGTAAGTTTACTTGCATAGTAACCTCTTCACTTCACAGACTCTCCTCCATTCTTCATATTCAAGTTTCTTTTCAAAAGGCTCTTTTGCTATAAGGATAGAAGTTCCTTTTAACTAAAATGGAAAGGTCACTTTTCTAATCCTGTGATTCCACTATTTATGCACAGAGCCTTGAAGTCTTACCGGCCTCACTACTTACCCAGGAGAATTTTACAATTTTAAGTAATGTATTTACAAGTT